CAACCAGAGGAGTCGCCCCCTGGTGGACAGTAGAGAGAATGCAGCTTCAACACATGAAGCTTTGACTTCACTTTACAGAACTGGAGGTTGACGTCTGGAAGTTTTATTAACTCCTCTGTCAAGACAGAAGAACCAATTTGGGCTTTGAACCTACAACTCTTTCACAGAAAGCCCGAGTAACGACCTGGAGGTGTGAGGTTTGACAGAGTCGAACAAAGAGATCCTATCAAATGGAACTAGATGTTGACACATAGCTCGACATATTAAAGGTGCCCTGTGGAGTTTTCTTGAAAACAAACTCAACGTTAAGATGTCGGCCATATTATCTGCCCAGAGAGTTGGTTTTTTGCTGCTTTTTCACATTCCTACCTGTGGTGGAAATTTATCATATGGTTCTTTTAGTTGTAACTTGTATCACTTAAACCTGCATATACCACCCTAACCCTCTTCCCACGAAAAGGCTGGGAAGCTGGCCTTGATGGGTGCAGCGGCCAACAACATCTGCGAGGGGGAGGGTGAAGGGAGAGGAGACGAGATAATATATATACTCTGTTTTGTTTTTTCATTATGGTTAGACCTCCGAACCATCCGTGGGGAAAGAGCTCTATCCATTCAGCTGAATCATGATTGAAGTGTCTGTTCATTAAATATGTTTTTAATACTTTAAGAAGTTTCCATCGTGATTATTTCTCACTGGGAGGTTAAAAAGATTTTTTTCCACCACACTACCGATGCAAATTCAAAAAATGAGTACAGTTGATGGTTTCTCAAGATTGCCAACCATAGCTTAATGTTATGATCCAATTATGCTCGTAGATCCCCCTAAATGTTACACACTGTTCCTTTAAATCAGCATACTCACGGACTTCGGACATTCTTTTTTTCCAGTCTGTCTCATGTGAGTCCCCAAACTTTTTTGTAAGTGCAACACTGAACCTCATGAGTGGCCTTTAAGTCCCACATTTAGTCATATTAGGTCCCAGATTCCTGCACATGTACCGTGTTTTAGCTGATTTAATACTGAAATGTAGCTCTGTGTGTACAGAGAAAAGAGTCTTCACTGTGAAATGTATGATTGTAAAAGTTTTTATGATACATTTGCTTTGTTGGTAGAAATCACAGGGAGGCTCCGATCTTAATCAAACTGCATACTGCCCTCGCAAAGTGCGTATATTACATGCAGTATGCATTTAATTGGGACATTAGCCCAATTACAGACTCACACAAAGTCCTAGATGGGTTTAGTTCTGTCACTCAAAACCTCGAGTGTTTGAATCTCTCTCTCAGACATTTTGAGTCCTTCATGAACACTTTCCCTAAAAGTCCGCATTTCTGCAGACTTTGTCTCAGGGAATTACCCACAATTCATAGCAGTGTGAAGTTAAACACGGGGTTACCGGTTGAAGCCGGAGACATAAGAAAAAAAAGGTAAACAATGAGGACACACATGTGTGTCCAGCCTGGAATATTACACTTACACAGAAACATTGTTTTAAAACAAACAAGTGAATAAAGATTATATGACAAACACATCTCATGTTGTGAGGAAAGAGCTGGAAGACGTTCAAATCAGGCTGTCTCATTCGTATTCACACCATTTAAAGCCCTTTACAGCCTCTCACACTCAACCATAACAGGTGACGTCAGTGAGTCCCTGAGGGTTCAGGGTTCAGGGTTTAGAGGGGGACACTGGGCACCGTGAACTATCACCCCCTTGCTCATGTATCTTCTGCACACTGCAAGGATTTAGGAGAACATCCTGGTATTTCTGTGCACGGGGACTTACTGAATCATAATACGGTTTTATGGGTGAGATGATCTCAGCAGGCCTCTTGTTGCTCTACTGTGTTTACATCGCTCGGTCATCATGCTGGATCAGACAATGGCTCCTGTATGTTCACCTCCACAGCCTCGCCCCCCCATTCCCTACAAAACTGGAGGAGTGGACTTCTGGCAGCAGGCAGGATCACTGATTCAGCTTTTTTGGGAAGTGAAACTCTTTCGGGAATAGGGAGGAGGCTGCAAAGGTCCAACGAATTTGGGGGGGGAGTGACTCCAGAGGGAGGTGGGGGTGTGGGGGTATAAAGAGCAAACCACCGCCCCCCTTCGTTGGTGCAACTTTCCCCGGCACATCCGACTCAGTCCGTCCGCTGCAGGCTGGAACTTGCCCGCTAAAAAAGCACGGACTGTGCTCCGCAGACATGGCACCTGTCCTCCGAACGCTCGTCTTCATCATCGCCTCAGCGCTCGTGCAAACTGCGCGGGCGGCCCTCTTCAATGACACGTGAGTAAAAAAAAAAAAAGAAAAGCGTTTTTAATCAACAAAACTTCTCATGTTTTTCTGCAAAAAATAAAAAGTTTGCTTTGTGCGTCACGCCTGAGGACGCCAAGAGCGCGCGCGCCAGTGCTTTTGCAGGAGGCGCAGCTGCACGTGATGAAGTAAAAAGTTAGGTGTGTTTTATGTTGTGTTGTTGTGGTATCACTAAGGACCAAAATCCAGCAGAGAGTCCAGCGGTTGGCCTTACTGTTATGCAATCTGCGTGTGTGTGGTGTGTGTGTGTGTGTGTGTGTCCATCTACTACCTCTTAACCATTTGATTAATAAGCTGCTCTTATCTGCTAAACTTAGTGGGAACAATGACTGACAGTGTTTTTTGGTGAATCTAAATCATCTAAAGTGGTGACCACTGTCCTTTAAAGGACTTCACAAACAAAACTCCTCTTCATATTGATTCTGTTCTGACCTTTGGTTTGTGTGTTTACCATAATTCAAACGCCTCTCATAGTTTTTGTGTCAGAGTCCAATGACTTCTCATCATTGTGCAACTTCGGCTCTGGTCAAAACAGCATCAATATTCTCAGCAGCAGCAAACAAAACTCAATTCAACGTGTCCTTTACTTCTCATTGGCAGCCGCAGGCCTGTGTATGCCAACCAGCCTCACACACAGCAGCAGAGTGGTTGTTTACGGGCTCCGTCCATGTAATTGACATGGAAAAAACATTCAAATAACAGCACACTTCAAATACTGATTATTTTGTCTTTTTCAGTGGTGGAAAAAGTATTTACAACTCAAGAGTAAAAGTACTTGCTTTGTGACTGATATTATATTTCTACAAATGTCCTTAAATGGAGTGAAGTGAAAACCACTCGCCTTTTTGCTCCGTTTTTGGTCTCCAACTCCTTTTTAGCTGTTAAATGCTCCAGTATGTTCACCCGCTAGTTGCTAGTTGTGTCCCTGGTTGGTAGGGTATAGTGAGCTTTTATCATAGATGGATGATGCATCTTCACTTCATCCCACTGTACAAAAAAGAAGCCAAAATATCCCTGATACGGGAGCGGCCATCTTGAGATCTGCGGAGTAGTGATTGGGGGGAGCTGGAGCAGCAGGTATGGAGGTCCTGCCCACACAGCCACCCCGAGCCAATCGCGAGCTCAGCAAGGCCACAGATCGTCAGCGTGAGCCACCTAGCCGCTACGTTAGCACCACGGGTAGCTGTTTGGCAAGAAAGACACAACAACAACCATAATATCTTTATGATTACATTTATCTTTGAACTGACACATTCTATTACGGAGACTCGTGACGGGTATGGAAAGTGAAAGTTATGACGGCCTCTCTTGTACGATTCCCGAGACTACAACTTATTACAACCAAACGTATCCGAACACATCAGTGTGATAAGAACTACCTAAACTGCTTGACGTGTACTCTGACATGGAGTTGTTTTGGCTTCACATTTGGGGAGCCGTCACGTTGTCTTCTCTTCTCTTATACACAGTCTCTGTTTTTTACAAATATGAGCGACACCTTTCACATTAATCATCTGCATAGTGATTTGATCTGTTTGTATTGTAAAATATTGATTATAGTCTCTTTAATCTCTAAATTCTACCACCTCATTGCTTCAATTTATTTGAACATGTGTTGTGGAATATTTCTAGGTTAATCGGGAGAAGAGAGTTTTTGTTCACAAATCAATAATAAAGTCTTAACAAGATTCAAAGTTTGTCTTTGTCCGTTTATTCTCTTGCAAGAGGGAAGAAAACACAACAGCTGCGTATTGACACCACATCATTTTATGCATACAGAGGCCCCTCCTCTAGATAAATCGTACATAGGTCGTACAGGTCTTTTGACACAGGCTGTCTTGATCTGCTCATTATCTAGTTTCTGCGAGATGCGTTCAACTGGGAACCAGTTACGGTTTCAAGGTAAGATGAGACTTTCACCTGCAAGTTCCTCATTACTGCATAGTTTTAACCACACGTAAGTTTCGGGTTCACAACACGGACACACAGAGTTCAATATATTTTGCCATTACACATGTCACGCCGATAACGGCTAAGATTTCCTCTGCTCAACGTCAGTACTAGAAAAAAATCCAGGATTCCAATAATATAGGAACAATATTCCTGATGCAAAATACACTAGAATGATTATTATAATGCTGGAACAGAAACAAACATCTGCTTTTGGTTTTTATGCTTATTGTTGCAGCACACCTTGTCCTTTTTTACCAAGTCCCAGCTCATGTCCTTTTCGCTTTTTCTCTACCTGCAGTATTTTCGCGGTGACTGTGAGCTCCCAGGTGAGAGGAGGGAAACAGGAGACCCTGTGTGCTCAGATCCACGGCCCCGAGGAGCCCGTGACTCTGACCGTGGCCCTGGAGCTGGGCTCTGGCAGAACCGCCATTCTGGAGGAGAAAGTCAGCGAGGACTTCTACCGCTGCCTGAACTTCCAGGTCTGACCCGACACGTGTGGACACGGCTAACGTGCATTGTAGATCTTAAAGGTCTTTAGCAGTTAAATGCGTCACAGAGGCTCCCAGGTAGCCCTCCATGTAACTAACACTGGAGTCATCACTTCTCTGTAAACTGCTGCTCTGGTTTCTGTCACACCGCCGCTCGCTGTTATGCAACTTACTGGTGGGCCTGGCTCCACATCGATGGAACCGACCCGCCGACCCCAATCAGCTCTGTGACAATAGCGCTTACTCTCACTGCGTTCCCCAGTGTTTGCCCCCCCCCCTCCCGCTGCAGGGCAGACCGAGTCTGGCATTTGTCTATCTGCGACTAAACAAAGGCTGCTTTCTGCCAAAGGCTAGATATGTACCTGCATTCCTCTGGACTATCTCCCCCCTACCCCCCTACCCCTCTACCTTCAGTCTCACAACACACACAAACACACCTTTCACCCACATGTTGAAGCAGTCCCTGTTATAACTCAGCAGCTCCATTAGCAAGTGAAAACATATGCTACACAAGTATGACGCTATTTCGCTCAATTTCAGCAGAACTCGGATGGATTTGCTTCCCAGCTGTTTTTGTCATAGTTGACCAGATGTTTGAAGAGCGAAAAAAGGAAATGTACAATTTAGAAAAGTGCAGAAAACTACATTTTAAAAGCTTCCAATGTCCTCTCTGACAGATGCTTGTTTTCTGCAGGTCCCTACCGTGCGCTTCAGTACTGTGGCAACCGTTATTGTCACCATTCAGGGTGCGAGCGCCTCGATGAGCAAGAGGACCAAAATCCTCATCGAGCCTCCTGCTTTCATCCACATCATCCAGACCGATAAACCCATCTACAAACCCGGACAGACGGGTGAGTGTTAAGACCTCTTTGGAGGATGTTTAGAGGGAATAGCTGCTGCTCCGCTGCAGTCGTACTGTTCATACGGCCCACGTTAGCACCACCGCGCTGCTTACTAATTCAGCTGCATTTGCACAATTCTGGTCTACATTACTATATCTGCATAATGCTGAGCCACTACTTTAGGAATGCCGTCTATATTCAGCACATGGAGGAAGGGTAGTTCCTCAAGAGTTGTTGGTCGAGGTTGTGTTCAAGAGAAAATATACAAACATCCATCAAATCACAATTAAAAGCTCACGGACCATTTTTAAAAATGTATTTCGTTTTTTCTTTAATTTTGAGCAAGACTTCACCCACAAGATGACCTTCTGTACATCAACTACTCACTCAGTTCATTTGAATTCTTCAAGAATTTCAAAAGTGAAAGAAGATTTAAAAAATAAAGAGAGCTTTTCACAAAAAGCTAAAACTACGTCAAAACATCTACAACCTCAAGCAACTCCTGCAGAATAATCCAACTCATTTACCCAGTCGAATGCATCGTCGCATCTGTTGCAAAAATGGTCACTTCAACGGAAACGAGCTGTAAACACAACACTGACATCGTTGACTATCAGTATAGCAAACATACATGCATACATAAAACATACATTTGTCTGTTTACATCTCCAAAAGACGGGGAGCAACATTAGCTTTCATTTTGAGTTGTGTTTCTGGACATTTGATGAATTTAAGTCCAATATTCACTCGCCTTTTTGCTCCGTTTTTGGTCTCCTCCAACTCCTGAGCAAGTCCGTGCATGAGAATGTAGTGAAGAGAGAGTTTGTGAAGGAGTGAGCATTCTGCACCAGTTGTGTAAGAGTTGGTAAACGGTTTGATATGGTTTTGCTGTTGTGAACTTTACTTTTCTCTGTTTGTTGATTCGTCGCGGAGGCGTGAGTGAAAAACTATATATTTTTTTTAAAGAATTCAAGGTAACACGGGATGACTAATTACTAAATACTCACGGACTTTGATGCACGCCCCCGCAAAGTCTGTGAGGGTTTAGTTCTGTCCGACTGTCAAATCCTCGAGAGTTAGAATCTCTCTCTGACATTTTGAGTCCCTTTATGAACACTTTCCTTAAATCCGCATTTCTGCAGACTTTGCCCCAACGGTAATTGCCCACAATTCATAGAAATGTGACGTTAAACACGGGGTTACCAGTAGAAGCGTGGAGACAAAGAGGACGGCTCATGTGTGTTCAGCCTGAAATATTACACTCAGATTTATTCTATTAAAGCTGTTTTCACAAAAACGATTAAATAGATTATTTGACAAACGCCTCATCTCATGAGGAAAGAGCCTGGAAGACGTTCAAGTCAGGGAGTAAAAAGTTAGAATAAATACCCACAATTATATATAACGTGACGTTCTCACGGTAACGTGATATGTCTCAGCAAAGTGCCGTCCCATTCCTATTTACACTATTTCAAGCCCTCACAGTCAAACCTTCACCAGGAGACGTCAGTGAGTCCCTGAGGGTTCAGGGTTTAAGGCCTTAGAGGGGGACTCTGGGTCTGGTATACATTTGATATATAGACGGTCATTTTGGGTGAAAGTGTTTCTTCAAATGAAGTAGAGAAAGACTCCAAACACTTAAAAATACATTTTACTAAATTGTTGTGGGCTATTAACTGTGATTTGATGGATGTTGAACAAATGTTTTTATATAGTTTTGTTGTTTTTAAACGCGGACCCCAATTCATGAAGACTTTTCTAATTTTTTGGGGGCATTCTTTGTTCACCGTAGAGACACATAGTGAGTAACTGATATACACAGATGGCCATGTGGGTGAAGTACTGAAGTCATTTTTTGGATCATCAACATGTTATTCTAAAATAGTATAATCTGATATAAGCGTGGATATAACAAGACGAGTCGTCTCAATACGATGCCGGTGGTGTTATCGGGACTTGTGTTTCTTAAAGGGGCATTCCACACATTTAGTATTCTAACCTTAGGGCGTGTGTGGGTTCTGACTTTAAGTCCGTCATATGGGTCAAGCATCAAAAACACTTCCCAGAATGCAACTCGATAGCGTCTGTCATTACAGCGTGCCTCTGGAGGAGCGCTGTCTCGTCTGAGGAAAGGATCACAGTGATGTCATCGGGGTTGTTCTGGCTTGTGCTCGGGGATTTTTCACAGAGCCTGTAAAACAAAAGGCACAGACGGTCTCGCAACACATGCTGTTGAGTAGCATTATGGAAATGTTTTGGAGCTTGGACCCTGACCAGGAAGTCTTTAATTTTGACTTTTCTTTTTGTCAGTCTGCACCAAAGTGCTGCAGTCCTTTACAACCTTGTTTCTCATAAAACATAAACTGCTGCTTCTTTCTTTTGAACTAAAGATGAAATATTTGTGCCATCAGATGTCCCTCAGCTGTACTGTAGGATTTAATTCAATGTATTCTCCGCTTGCCTCACTGATTGTATGTATTGCTGTGTTTTTATTAAAACATGGTGATTTCTTTGTCTGTTTTTCTGTCTTTTCTTTAAAGTCCAGTTCCGAATTGTCTCCATGGACGCTAATTTCATCCCTGTGGATCGAGTGGTGAGATTGATTTATTTTTTTATTTTTTTGCCCTTGAAAATGATGATGATAATATTGTACGACGCGTGGGATAATTCCAAGCAGTGAACTTCTGCAGTCTGGTGTGATTTCTGCCGAGCCGTCGGTGAATCTGAGGAGCGAGGTCTATTTTGGTTCAGGAGAGTGGGCGGTGAAAGGAGGGCTGTTTGTTGGTTTAGAAGACGGCGTGGGCGTGAAGCGCTGTGTGGAGTAGTGTGATAAACATGCTGTCAGAGTTCATTTGGCACACACTGCATCTGACCCAAACATCTGAATCAATACGGGGCTCAGGGCCTTTTCCGTTTGTGTTCGAGATGCTGAAAACACGACCGCGTGCAGCCAAATTCATTCAAATGTGTCGTATGATGAGGGAAGGTTTGAAACTGTCTCATAGGAAACTATGAAGCTGGAGCATCCTGTCAGGAATCGATCACTTTCCGACCTCAGGTTTTCCATTTGAACGTCTGAGTGTCTGAATGAGATGAGCAAAGCTTCACACGTTCACCTGACTTAACACCACAGACCGTGACTAAGAAGTGGACGTAGTCATGGTGATGTTACCCTTTGGTTTGTGGACTGACGTTTTGAAGCCTCGAGTTCGGCGATTTCGTCGTTTTCATTGTGGATTACGACCCTCGCCATGTTGGTTTTTTTGCAACTAATGAACAGAAGTGACCATGTTTAGTCTGAGGATGAGTGACGAAATTAGATTTTAGCATTTCAGGTTAATATCGTCCCATAGACTGGTATTAACAGCACAATATCCATCATGAACTCTTAAACTCGGAATTTCGGACAAACTCTCACCAACCCAGACCTCAAAATGAATTAGTAGGTTATGTTGGGTTGTAAAGGAGAATCAAATGAGTCTTGTATTTTTCTGTTGAAGTTTGAATTTCTGTAGGTTTTTGCTGGAAAAATAGGAGATATTCTCTTCTGGGAACTATCTTTACACGTATTATCGTATTGTAACTATCTTTACACATGTATTCTAAATGCATATTTTGTCCAAATTCCATTTACAGCTTATTAACTTTGATATCATTTTTCTTTTTCAGTACAAAGTGGTGGAGCTCAAGGTAAGATCAACTAAAAGTTATTACATGAGAGACTGGCTCAGGTGCTTTCTGTATGAAACCCAGCATGGCACCTCTCCTGCCAACTGTTTAGCTTCCGTATTGTACAGAGAACTACAGGGATGATGTATTTCTGTAGTCCAACAGGAAGTCACCATCACTGGTTCCCTCCACAAACAGCCATTATATTTTTGATTGTTACATTTAAAAAAAACTTTTCTGATTCTTCCAGGTTTAGTTCATCAAGATAATCGTAATGATGTTTGAAGTGTAAAGTAAAAAGCTAACGTTTAAAGGAAAGCTAAAGGAACTCCACCACGGTCACGTGACTTCACGTTAGTCTGTAAAGGAAGTCCACCGCGGTCACGTGACTTCACGTTAGTCTGTAAAGGAGCTCCACCACGGTCACGTGACTTCACATTAGTCTATGAAGGAACTCCACCACGGTCACGTGACTTCACGTCAGTCTATGAAGGAACTCCACCACGGTCACGTGACTTCACGTTAGTCTATAGAGGAACTCCACCGCGGTCACGTGACTTCACGTTAGTCTATAAAGGAGCTCCACCACGGTCACGTGACTTCACGTTAGTCTGTAAAGGAACTCCACCACGGTCACATGACTTCACGTTAGTCTATAAAGGAACTCCACCACGGTCACGTGACTTCACGTCTCCACCACTAGGCTAAAGGAGGACTAGTGTTCTAGTGAGGACGCCTAGTCGTCTCATTTACACTCTTTAACATTCACCAGAGGGGTATTTACTGACCTATTTTACATCAGAGAAATAAACGTTAGAATCTCTTCAGCTTGTGTTAAGCACAGACTTTATTTCAGACTTCTGACCAAAAACAGTTTTAAACAAAACACAACTTTGAGACGAGGGAACAGGAAGTACAAATATACTGACTCATGTCTGTGTTTTAGGACTCAGACAGAATATTTTCGGACTTATAGTTTAGAGGAGGGTGTGGTCAAATCGTTAAGGGATTTGATTGGATCGCTTCAAACTGTGGCTGGATTAGTCATCGTGGATGTCTGGAGAATTACAGTGATGCCCAGCTGTAGAAACAGTTTGCCTCCTTTTATATGATGACATGGACTCACTTAGATTTATCTAAAATAACATTTAGATAAATGTATGTATATATTCCCTAATATTTTGAATGACGAGATATATCTTGACAAATATTTAAAAGTTTCACAGGAGGATAAGAGAGAGGGGTTTTGATATTCATGCTTTTGACATAGGTCTGGCATTCAACAGGAGATGGAAAAACAATTCAGACAGTATAACAAAAATCTTTTTGTGTTTCACTGTTTTTAAAGATTAGGACACGCACAGAAATGCTACTCTTTGACTGCAGCAAAGGTAACATGCACATTGTGTGCTAATTATAGAATTATATGCACATACAGTACAGAAATGTAATATTGTATTACTTTGAAGACCAAAATTGTAAAGCCCCAATGTTGAGGATTTTAGAACTTTTGATTTTGGCGGCCTCAAGACATCAAAGCTGGAAGTTGCGTACTCGTTTTCATAACTTTTATGTCGGTTTTGTACAGACAAAAACATTTGCCCTCTGAAAAAGGGCTTTGGAGTAGGATTTATGTTTCCTTATTACAGCAGGTAAAACAATCTTGTGGGCTTCTATGCTATGAAACACTCCATCGGTCCACACTGTACCTGGTCTGTCCTTGTTGACAGTTGCTTTTGCTGGTCATCTGCAGCAGATAGCCGTTAGCTCTGAACTCAACCTTCAGTCAGTGTGCCTCTGTCTTTTTATGTAGGATCCCAATTCAAACCGCATAGCCCAGTGGTTGGATAAGACCGTTGTTAGCGGCATCCTTGATCTCTCCCACCCGATGATTCCTGAGGCGGTACAAGGAAGCTACGTGATCGCCGCCTCGACAGACAAAGGAGAGCAAATATCCCACAACTTTGACATCAAGGAATACGGTCAGCAGCAGTTACACGCAAAAAAACAACAACAAACAAACATAATTTACCAGAAATAATGATTTGATCTATGTACATTTTCAGCGGTAATATTTTTGATTCTGTTTCCTTTGCTTTAGTTTTGCCTAAGTATGAAGTAACGGTTCATCTACCCAGTGTGATTACCATCCTGGACCAAGAGGCAACACTAAAGATTTGTGGAAAGTGAGTGTCCCACTTAAACGGGACAGACGGAGGTTTGAGAATGAAGTTTAGGATAGTAGCCAATTAAGAAAGTCAAAATGAAAAATGTAATTCTCCTCACTAAAGAAATAAAAACCGTAATGATACTGCACCTCTTAGACATATTTTTCTATTTTCTTAAAAGTGCGGCAACCTCGGTTCTGAAAAGTGAAGTCAGAGCTTCAAGTGTTAAAGCTGCATTCTCTCTAGTGTCCACCAGGGGGC